TGACTCCAAGATCTCTTTCTTGAGTGGTAACAGCTAATTTACACCTTCCAAACAAAGTGCAGTATGGGTTTGCAATATGGTGAGCAGAGCCAGGTGAGAGATTGAATGAGTCAGACAACCAGATCATCCCCTTTTGCTGCTTGGTGCTTAAAAGGAAACTGAGCAGGAGGACAGTTTTCTTCTTTTAGCTTTTCTGAATCTGTATCTGGAACAGAGTCACACACTGAAATCTCTTGATGTGCTAGTCAGTGCATCTGAAACTTTGTAAAGTGTATCAGTAGCCCTTGCAGCAAGCAGCATCTACTATTCACTTGTCTTGGGATGCTGGGCAACAAAATTGTCCTTGCCTGTCAGTGAATAGTTTTTTTTTTTTTTTTTAACTCTGTTTCTTCTCGCACCATCTCTAAAGCTTGTGCTACCAATAATATATATATAAGATAGTTTATAGTGACTTTATGAGGGGAAGGAAAATTGACATTCAAATGCTTCTCCGCCTGTTATAGTATCTTAAGCACTGTCAATAATAAACTGTAATTTGGACTCATGCCCAAAGATTTTTGGCCATCAAGTTTGAATTTAAGGGAGTTAGGTGCCCAATTGCTTTAGGATCCTTTCAACATCCTAGCCCAAATAAAATAAAAACAGAATTACAGTAGGCTTCGGTAGTATGCATATAAAGTGTTCTTATTCTATGGATATGGCCACAGCTTGAAAATTTTACCAGCCACTTAAACCTACTTGTTAGGCAGAGCTCTAGGAAGGATGAGCCCCAGTCAGGTTCACTGGCAGAGCCTGAAGGAAAGGCTTAGTTGCTGGAAGGGGGAGCACCTTGATTTTTCCAAACTGTGGGGTCCCATCTTTATTTTCATTTTGATTAACTAAATGTAGAGCTTCCTCTCTTGGTCCCCATTCCCTTTGCCAGGAGGGAAGGGGAAGCCCCCTTCTCAATCTATCCGCTTCTGCACAAACAGTCCACTAACACAACATTAAGGTTGATATTTACAGCACGTAAGATAGGAAATTACAAGTGTAGGGTGAGATTTTCAAAAGCACTTAGCGGTGGCATAGCTGCTCCTGTTGATGTCAACAGTAAAACTGCCATTTGCTTCAAAGGAAGCAGAGTTAGGCTAATTATGAGCAGTTTCAAAAGTCTTATCAGTAAGTACCAGAGCAACTGTCTCTCAGCTGCATACTGCATATCAAGTTATTGATTCACATTGGGTTAGGATATTGTGTTTGATAGATATTTTATAAAAAAGCTCTTCAGACTAGCAGTGTATGTGCTTGTATATAATAAAGGGTTATGCTTTATTTCATCAGGACCCTGTTTCAGAATTCTCCAGGCCAGAAGAATGATGTCTTTCACTTGGACATTAAAAATGTAGGTGGCATAGGCCAGATCTTGGACTTCATGTACACTTCACACCTTGATCTTAGCCAGGACAATGTACAAGCTATGTTGGATATTGCACAATGTCTGCAAGTGCAAAATGTGCTGAACATTTGCCACACTTTTTTAAAATCCTCCACAGCTGTAGAGTCTCCTGCCAGCATGCCTTGCAATAGTGTGTTCTCCTTGCAAAGTACTTTGGCTACAGAGACTAACTGTGTGAATGAAAGTTACGGTACTAACTTACTGCATGAATGCTCATCAGATGCACAAGCGAGTAAAGTGTTGGATGACCACCATTCCCACGGATCACAATCTATTAATCTTCATACTTCCTCAGGTGATGTACAGAAACAGACACAAGACTCCTTAGATGGTAATTGCACAGAGCTCCCATTTAAACAGCCAAATTACTATTATAAACTGCGCAACTTTTATAGCAAGCAGTTCTACAAGCAGAATGCATGTTCCAACCATGAGAGAATAACAGAACAGTCCTTTGCTTTCAATACATCTACTGAACTAAGTACAGTAGAGAGCAATTCTTGTACTGTCAATCAATCTGAATGTATTTTGGAATCCTCTGACCACTTACCCTCCAACTTTCTGGTTCAATCCTTGAATGATTCTGCTCCAGACCAAGATTTGGAAAGCACATCCTTGCAGCCTACCAAACAGATGCGGTTGAAAAAGGCAATACATCTTAAAAAACTGAATTTTCTGAGATCACAGAAGTCTGCAGAACAATTGTCTGAACCTAAGAGAGATGACAACAGTATAACAAGAGTAATTGAATCTGTAAATGAAAGTACCATGGAGATGACAAATATTAATGCTGTTGAAGGAAAAGAAACTGAAGATCTTGTGAGTTCAGAGAGTTTTGAACAAACTGTTGAAATGGAAAGATCTCAAGGTCCTTCAGAACAAGATGAGCAATCACAGATTCTTCAGTCACAGAGGCAATATACTTGTGAATTATGTGGAAAGGCTTTTAAACATCCAAGCAATCTGGAGCTCCATAAAAGGTCTCATACAGGTACAATTATTTACTGCTTGCAGACCAAATATTTAATAACGAGATAAAAAGGAAAATGACATCCAGGCCTCCTCCTGGTTCAAAGACAGTTGTTACATAGGGATTCACTTTCAAAAATGTACTTTCTGTGGCAAGCAATGTAGGGAAAAGGACAGTTACAGGAATATATTAAGTGAATAGAGAAAAGCTTTTAGGTTTAATTTATTCTCCTTTCTGTCAACTAAATTTTCTAAGGTTTTCTTCAAAAGCACACTTTGTAATATTTAAATGTAAATGTCATATTTTTTCTCACTTTTAAAGGAGACACCTTTTGCGCTCAATACCAAAGTGTATAACCCCCACCAAAGCATAGATGTATGGAGAAAAGTCAGTACAAATGGATATGGGTGAGGGAAAACTTGTAGTTAAAGAATCTGTAATTTCCAACAGACTTACCTTTTTCTGTAGTATTTCACTCTGAATTGAGACCATTGTAAATCATATGAGGTAGGAAATTTTCCTCTGCTTTGCACAGTGCCAAAAGCACTGTGGTAGATAGTTATAGTGTTTATCAAGATTTCTAGTAGATACTGTGGTCCTAGTGGACATATGTACTTTGTAAAGAAAATGAGAGAGTTTGAATAATTTGACTGTACACTTCTAAAATTCATTCAGATAATTTCATTTTAAAATCGAGCAGAGTGATTTCTACAAACAGAAAACACAGCTTAGTATTTGTCACAGTGAAAAATAAATCCACTCTAACTTTTTAACTCATCACTCTAAATGTTTAATGTCCCCAACAAATAAAGTTGTAGAACAACAGTAAATTCATTCAAAAAATCTTTTATAAAACTATAGCTTAGCTCAGTGGTCTCCAACCTTTTTATGCCCAAGATCACTTTTTGAATTTAAGAGCAACCCAGGATCTGCCTCTCCCCTTCTCTGAAGCCCCGGCCCTCTCACTCCATCCCCCTCTCTCCTGTTGCTCAGTCACCCCCACCCTCACTCACTTTCACCAGGCTAGGGCAGGGGGAGGGACCGAGGGGTTTGCGGTGTGGGAGGGGGCTCTGGGCTGAGCCTGGGGCAGGGGGTTGGGGTGCAGGAAGAGGTCAGGGGTGCAAGCTCTGGGAGGGTGTTTGGATGCAGGAGTGAGCGCCAGGCTGGGGCAGAGTGTTAGGGTGCAGGAGATGGTGCAGGGTGTGTGCTCGAGGGGGGAGTATGGGTGCAGGAGAGGGCTCTGGGCTGGGGCAGAGTGTTGTGGTCCTGGAGGGGGTGTGGGATGCTGGCTCTGGGAGGGGGGTCAGGCCTGGGGCAGGGGGTTGGGGTGCAGGAGGCAGTATGGGGTGCTGGCTCTGGGAGGGGGTTCAGGGCTGGGGTGCTAGCTCGGGGGGGACACTTATCTTGGGCAGCTCCCAGTCAGTGGCACAGCAGGACTAAGGCAGGCTCCCTGCCTGCCCCAGCCCTACTCAGGCACATCGGCACCTCCTCCCCATCACGAGCCAAGACACCCTCCCACATCCACACCCCCACACACCAGAAGGGGCCAATGCACCTCTGTGGCCATGGGGAAGGCACGTGGCTCTGCGGGCAGTTCCCCATTTCCGGCCAATTGGAGCTGCGGGGCTGGTGCTTGCAGGCAGGAGCAGTGTGTGGAGATCCCTGCTCCCTCCACCCCCCCGCTGCAGGGGCATGGATCGACCAGTCGATCGCTATCGACGGGTTGGTGACCACTGGCTTAGCTATTCAAGCAATACCATTAATTTCCATCATTTACCATGGTGTCTTTCGTGGGGACTAAGCTAATGGATGTTTTCTGCCCTCCTTTTCCTTTATATTCCAATAGCCAATGACATAATATACAAATGCATAAGGGTTTATCTCACCAAATAAAATATCATCTGACAAGTGAATATGCATTTTCTGCGCAAAAGTCAAAGAGAATGTGGCCCTTGTTTTAACATGCATTCATTTCTTTTCTAAATCATGGTCTTTAGTAATGGGAATTTAGATTTCCATAAATTGTTAGTGAGCAGCCTTTCCAGAAGCAAGAAATTTGAACTTTCTCCATCATAGGGTCTCCTCCAAAAGGTCTCATTCAGTATTTGTGAGGTTTTCTGGATGTTCATGTTACAACTTGCACATCAGTATTTTTTTAAAATGATGTTGCCCAAGGACTAGATTTTAATTCTTTATAGGTTTCTCTGGGCAGAAAAAATACATTGCATACCAATCTACTAAACCACTTTAAATTGTTTGTGGAAAAATGTATATTGTAAATTCAGCACTCCATATCATATACACCTCTACCCCAATATAACGCGACCCAATATAACATGAATTCGGATATAACGCAGTAAAGCAGCGCTCTGGGAGGGCGGGGCTGCGCAGTCCGGTGGATCAAAGCAAGTTTGATATACGCAGTCTCACCTATTACGCAGTAAGATTTTTTTTGGCTCCCGAGGACAGCGTTATATCAGGGTAGAGGTGTACTATTATTTATTCAGCAAGACCTATGCTCTTTATAGAGCAAATAAAACGTGGTCTCTGGTTGACATCTTACACTTCCATTTTAGACACATTGCAGGGAGGAACACTGAACAGGGGGAGAGCCAAGGAGGACAGGGTTGCAATAATAAGTTTACATAGTTATTTAGATTCATTATATGCAATCTGTATGGTGCTACTGGCCCACTCCTGTTTGAAATTCATGTATTCACACACAATCCAACTCCAGTCAGGCTAGTCTATACTATTTTGAACTACAAGGTTTGAGCTGCACACATCTTCAGCTTGACTATATAAAATGTAACAAGACCAACCCCGTTAGACTGTCTGTTCTTGTGTTGCTGTCCTGCACACTGCTAATTCATGAGTGGGACTTGAAGTTGTGCACAGGAATTCCATGTTGTTTTCAGAAACCTTGCTCCAATTCTTGTTTTTAAAAAATAACCCAAGAAACTAATACAACAGCAGATAGCAGAATTGTGCTTATGCTTCCATGTAATATTCTTCTGGAGACTGTTGTATTTTCATAGTCAATTCAAATAGCTACTGGGTGGGATGGCATCATCTGACTTGTGCAGCATTCTCCTGTTATGTAATTGTAAAAAGAGGGAGAGGAGGTGGGAAGTACATCATGTAATTCTTCAATGCTCTGTCCCATTTAACTGTTAATGGAGTGGAATGGGGTGCTGGGTATGGGATATAGCAGCACAGGAATAGGAAATTGAGACAGACAAAGCAAGGACATGTGGGTAGCCAAAGCAGTAGGAGGATACTAAACAGAAGGCAAAGGAAGAGGGCACTCACCAGGGTGTGGAGGGAAGAGAATTTGATAGTTTCTGTTTGCTTGCCCTATTAAGTATATTCCTATGTCATGTGTATTCTATGACTCAATCTACTTAGTGGTGTGAATTCTGTTGAACATACTACACCTGTGCTCCATGTAATGGGTTGCTTCCTATTTGTTTGTGTGTACAACTCAGGGCATTAGGTTTTGGTACATTAATCTACAAATCCCTCTATAGTCTGGGTATCTAGGGAGAGAGGTAGTTTCTTAGTGCCCTCCTGACAACCAAGGTCAGATACAGCAGCTCTGCTAACAATCAGTGTAGCTTTTTGGGTGTTAGAAGCAGGGTATTCCAAATGATCGGAAGATTTACTTGTACTTAACTGGACATCACTTCCCTTGAAACTACCAGTCTGTGAGCCACCCAAACAATCTCTTCAGGGCTCTCCCAGCCCTTACTTTGCCTTGTAGGTTTACGGTAGGTGCATCCCAATCCCCAAATCCACTTGAAGCATTCCCCTGCAGTGTCCAGCTCTTAACCATTTGACACTCACGGAAATTACCAGGTAAGCTACCCCCTAAGGAACAGTGCACATATCAGCTTGTTTGATTCAACTGCAGATCAGCTCAAATATAACATCACAACACTGAGATATAGTTATAATGAAAATAATAAGTTTATTATCAAAGGGTAAGATTTAAGAGCTAGTGAGTAAGGATAACAAATGGAAACAGAATGGTTACATATAAAACAAAAAGTATAACTTTTTTGCTTCCTAGACTCTAAACTTTCAACAGGCTAATACTCTTGTCTAACATAGTTAATCTCACTCTAAGCAAGCTCACAGCATCTCCAACCAACATAGTTAGGATTTCCCTTTAATAAATGCAAAACATGCTGTCCTTTTAACTTCCTCTGTGAAGGACAAAAATTGCCTTCTATATCCCCAATATGCATTATTTTGTCCCCAGAGTCAGGATGACCCCTGTGGTTCATTCCTGATGCACTGGCTCCATGTTGCATTCACATCCTCATGTTGATGTGGTATGCAAATTGGCTTCCATTGTGTTGGTGTACAGTGCTTATTTTACATGTGAACCAAGGCAGATGAGTGAACATACATCCTTTGTCTGATCAAAATCTGCTTGTCAACCCTGCTGTGACTCAGACTTTAAAATATATTTTCTTGTGTGTGTGTCCTCCATACATACGTCTCTCAACAATTATGAAGATCAGTATGACATAAACTTTTATTAGATACCTCACTTGACCCTCTTTAGATAAATACTATGAAATCAATTTGTTGGGTATAGCGAGTTTGTCAGGCCTGTCCTGGGCTATTGCTACAGAACAGTGAACCCTTTGCCAGTTGCCACTGAGGGGTTCTCGGGGTCACAGACAATATGATTGATGTTCTGCAAAATTAGGGAAGTGATAGACAAGGTTAATAGACTATTTTTCCACTTTAGTAATGGTTCAGAAACCAGGTATAGGGTAAAAGTTTCAAAAGTGCCTTAGTACTCTGACTTTCAGTGAGTCTTCGGTTCCCTGGTACTGAAGGGCTGGACCTTTAAAGATGTTTAGGTGCTTAGCGGGATTTTCAAAAGTGACAAGATGACTAACTCCCATTGAAATCAGTGGAAGTTAGGTTCCTGGGCACTTCTGAAAATCCCAGAAAGGGTGAGATTCACAAAAGGACTTGGGTGACTGCCATTTTAGTTGCTTGAATCCCAGAATCAGGTCTCACTGGAACTTTCAAACCCCTGCCCAGTTGCCATCTAAACCTGAGGCGCCTAAACTTGCTCAGTGTCTAATTTTGTCTATTAAGAGTTTCATAGACACCTGTGTTTATGCTTTTGAGCATGTGTGCTATTGCCTCACTCCAGGCATTTGGATGCCTGAGCCCCATGGCTAGTCTCAAACCAATGGAAGATAGGCATTCATCCCCCGGATTTGCCTGCAGAGTCCAATCTGCTAAATGTGCTCAGAACTCACCTACTAGATCGGGACTCTATAGGTGAACTTACACAAAACAGCCGTGGGGTAGAGGGAGGACCTCCCTCATAATTTTTAGCCCAGTGATTAGGGTATTCACTGGGGTGTGAGACCCCCCCCCCCCATTTCAAGTCCCCCTCCCCTCCCCCCACCTGAGGGGAAGAAGGAATTTAAATGGGGATCTATTACTTCTCAGGTCTATGGGATATTCTGATATGTGGCTGCCTCAAGCTCTCCTGCTGAAACTGTGTAAAAATAATTTTAAAAAGTCATTGGCACAGGGGGACTGGTTCCTGGGTCTCTCACAGGTGAATGCTGTAACCACTAAGATATATAGTCATATTCATTCTCTCTTTCCCCTATTTTCCCTCAATGATGCTTTTATTATTTATCCACAATGGAACAGGTTCAACAGTTGAGACTGAGGGGGCTGTATATCAGAATATCCTGTAGCCCAGTGGTTACGGCACTGACCTGAAAGGTGGCAGAACTCTGTTCAAATCCCTTCTCTTCCTCAGGTGGAGGAGGGGACTTGAAGCAGGCTCTCCTACATCCCAGGTGAGTACTCTGTCCACTGAGCTAAAAATAATGAGGGATGTGGTCCTCCCCTCTCTGAGCTTCTTGCTAAAACATTATAAGCACCTAATCCCAAGAGAGGGTTTGCAGCTGAGAATCCCAAGCAAAGGGAAGAGCTTCCCAGCTAGGGTGACCAGACAGCAAATGTTAAAAAATCGGGACGGGGGTGGGTAATAGGAGCCCATATAAGAAAAAGACCCAAAAATCGGGACTGTCCCTATAAAATTGGGACATCTGGTCACCCTATTCCCAGCAGCCCAGTCTTAGGTGCCTATTTCTGTGAGACTGGCAGGGTTTAGCACACACTCCTCCTCTTGCCATCTCCCATTGGCTAGCTTGGGGGAGGAGCTGCCTAGCATGCTGCCTATTGTGAATCCCGTTCTGAGGCACTGATCTCCATTCATTGTATAGAGAGCCTAGTCACCTAACCCAGGCTTTGTGAATCACAGTGATTTTCTAGGCACCTAAAAGTGTAGCCCTAAACGCTTATATCCATCCTTAGGCAGCTAAATATCTTTATAATCTGGCCCATGTCACTTTGAAAATGGGATTTAGGTTCCTAAATCATGGATGCAGTCTTGGAAATTACCCATAATCTAAAATTAGGAAGCCCATTAAAAGGGAGAACTGTGCAAGAACTGTTTAGTGGCTAAATGTCCTTAGGGAATAGGTGGAAAAGAGTATACATTGATTCAAACTGATAACGAGGATTCTGGACTAGAAAACAGAAGAATGTGGCTAAATATCAGTATAAAATCAAAAAGTATAGTGTATTGGGCAAATTTCCCTATTTGTCAAGTTTCTTACACAAAAAAAATCGAGAAAGACTGAAATACCAGTTTATACCTGGTTGAGAAAAATCAAAACTCTTTATTGACCAAAATGCTCAAGTCAGTTGTCAGATCCTATTATAAAGGATAACTAAGTATGAAGGGTTAGATGGCAAAAGTAAAGGCAGTTAAATACAGTTTATTTTTAGTGAGAACTCACTAGCTGTAGATTGCTTCCAGGGTCTCTGACCAATCAGAGCTGATACGTCAAGTGAACAGAATCTTGTAAAGGGAGAGTACAAGACCTCACATTCAATATCTCTGTGAATTATTAACTTCAGTCTATAGGTCAGGGTGTGTGTGTGTGTGTGTGTAAAACTGATGTGCTCTTTTTAATTTTGTCTTAATTTGACAGAGTAACCACATTTCCTTCAAGCATTTATAATTCTCATTCTCACCCCTATCCTGCAAGGAAGAAAGTGTAACTGTTAAGAATGTTTCTATTCCTGTCCATTTTTTTGCTAGTATTTGTTTGTGAAATATAAATTATATTTCAAAGAGATTCTCCTTTAAGAGGTAAATGACAGAAACACAATACCTATTTAATTTTCTCTTTAAATTACTTTGGTAAGTAATTTTGGCTTTAAGTTGTATCTAAATTATATCTTTTAGAGGGAAGTATACCAATTTAAAACATCTGTATTCTGTTGAAACTATTAGATATGCTATGTTCTGTCTTTTCTCCTTTTAGGTGAGAAACCTTTTGAATGTAACATTTGTGGGAAACACTTCTCACAGGTGGGAATATTTTATTTTATGATACTTACAGTTAAACTAAATGCATCCGTGTTTTGATTCTAAAAGTAAACTTAGTTCTGTTTGCGGTGATATAAATGACATGGCCTTGTCCAATGTTATAATCCTAAATTTAGGATTTAGCCACCTGTGGTGGCTTTTGAAAATACAAATTACAGTTTTCTAGATTTCTTAAAGATGTTTTCTGTCTTTTTTCTTTTACTTTTATGTAGCAATTCTATCACCTCTCCCTCAATCTGTCTTTAATTCTCATCCTTTTTTTCTCAGCAATTGGGTTCTGAGTTATGCAGATTTTTTTAAAAAAAGTCCTCTGCATATTTAAAATCTAGTGTACATTCACTACCAAATTATAACAACGTGGGGCCTAAAATATGTATGTATCTCATCTAGGAATACAATTTGAGTGGAGGAACAGTGGAGTCAGTCTTGCATATTATTATTTTTACATACTCTAAAGCAGTGGTTCTCAACCTATTTACCATCGTGGGCCGCACATGTGGCCCACAATATGTTATGTGGGCTGCATCCAGTACTACCTGTTTGGGCCTGAGGATGTCAAACGGACTTCAGCTCTGTGTTGATTGGGCCACAGGTTGAGAACCACTGCTCTAAAGCAAATACCTCTTAGTCAGATATGTAATTTGTTGCATACTCTGTAGTCTTCCTATACATGCTTCCAAAACGTAGCAATGCAGACCTCTCCAGAGGTCCAAATATGAAACATTAGCTGATAATTGCATAAATACAATCCATCTAATTTCTTTTTAACTGAAATTCAGATGGTTCCAAAGCCTGACACAATAATCCAGTTTAAATTTACTTCAGAAATAAAAGTCAGATTTTTTTTCCTGATACTCTGGCCCTGAATTTTAGCTGCGCCTCAACTTGACCTCCAATATTTAAATTGTAAAGTTGCAGGTACTGTTAAATTCACTTGCATTTGCACACATCAGGCACCTAACTACTTGACTTACAGGTACAATCAGGTAGGCTGTTAAAAGGATGCAGTTCGTTTTGTCCCTAAAACTGCATCAGCAATATTGGAGACCACTTCTGAAAATTTAGGACTCCACCTTTTCATTGTAATTTATTATCTGTACTCACAGTCTTACTGTATTCCATCTTTTATTTGGTCATAAGATGCCCTGTATTTATATCAGAATACTTATACTTTACAAGAGAGGGGTGAGCAGGAGGGGGGAAAAAGAGAGAAACAGTCAAGTGCATGTTTTATACTGGGATAGATTTAATAATTGAAGTGTGAGGTCCGGCCCTATATTCAGTGTTCAATTGTGCTTGTCCAGTCATTTTGGACAGCTTTGAGTTCATATTAGCCATAGAAAACACGTTGTTGTTTTTTGTTGAAGACTGAAATTCTAAGTATCAGAAGGGGTATAACCATTAAAAGCAGCTAGGTATAGCCTAGGTGCAAGAACGTATTGCTGCCCTTCATGTGGATGAGAATAAGAAAAGGTTGGTTTATTTGACCATAAAACATTTCTTGCTTCGGGCAAGTAGAGTAGCATTTTGCAAGGCTGATTTAAGTTATTGAAGGGGGATTTGTGGGAGGGGAGAGGAAACAGTAAAGTATGTATCACAACTATGACAAACTTAAGACTTTTTCATGTAGCAGACTTTGTTTTTAATGAATTATTTTAATTTTCTATCTGTTAATAAAAGGTACTGCAAACTGTAATTTCTCTTTTTAACGACTCTAAACAGTTTTTCTCCCCTATCTTAATCTCCTGAAGGTGCTGATAGACGAATTATAATACAGGGTATGCATGTTTGCAAAATATAAAGTCCACAATGCAATCCAATTGCTACAACTAGTTTCTTTTTATAAAGTGGAATTTACCTCCCTCCCTATTCTTTCCTTATGTTAGTGTTGTGACTTACAAAAGCAGTGTTTAAAATTCTGTTGTTCTTGGCTTAATGTACTGATGAATATTGGCAAATGAAGGGTGAAATAGTGAAATTCCAAGTATCAGTCCTCTTATCATATCTCTCTCCTCTCTCCATTCTGCAAATAGAATACCACAACCACATGTTGTAAGACTCCACCTACCAAGAAGTAAGGCGTAAAGAAAATTGACTTCTTCCTTTATAATGACTAGTTCCTCCCACTTTCCTCTGTTTTCTTTGCTGTCACAGCCTATAAGCATGGGAGACTACAGCACTGTTCTCTCTAGCCTTCATCTGCTGTGCTTTTGGCCCAGTCTTGCATCTGTCCAGGACTCCCATTGATGTCGATGGCAGTTCCAAGTGCATAGCGGATGCTGGATTAGTATTGTTTTTTGTACTTAGAAATAAATGGAAGATTAAAGTAGTAAAAATTGAGATTGGATATAGGAAGAAGATGAGCAAAAGGAACCTACTTTACACTAACCTTGACTTTTGGAGAGAAGAAAGGGCCCCTTTGCCTCTCAGCATGTGTCTTCCCCTCACTACCAGTATACCAGCTGTTTTCCTGCATGATTTTTTGCCACACCTCTTCTCTGCAATCAAGGATAACGTTGCAGGTCTCTTGTGTACCTTTTTCGGCAGCGTCTCTTTCAGGACGTTTTGTGTGAGTGCCTGCTCCTTAAGACCTGCCACTTGAGCCTGAGATTGTTTTGGTCACAAAGATTTGTAAAAGGATCAAATCAATGGTCCTTTTCTTCTTCTAAGTTAATGTGTGAAATCCAACCAGGATCAGTCAGGCTTAGAAATCCAATCCCACTATCTTTAATATCTCTCCCTTTCACTGAAATGCCCAGCCTCAGCCTATCCATCATCTTCCTAGCCAGTCAATATGATTCCTTTGCAGAGTTAAAGCCCAGGGATCAGGCCAAAGGTGATAGGACAATGATATACAGTAGAACCTCCGAGTTATGGACACCTCGGAAATGGAGGTTGTTCGTAACTCTGAACAAAACGTTATGGTTCTTTCAAAAGTTTACAACTGAACATTCACTTAATACAGCTCTGAAACTTGGGTATGCAGAAAGAAAATGCTGCTTTAAACCATCTTAATTTAAATGAAACAAACACAAACAGTTTCCTTACCTTGTCAAAAAAAATTTTAAACTTTCCCTTTACTTTTTTTAGTAGTTTACATTTAATACAGTACTGTACTGTATTTGCTTTTCTTTTCTTTTTTGTTTGTTTTTTGGTCTCTGCTGCTGCCTGATTGTGTACTTTCGGTTCCAAATGAAGTGTGTGGTTGACCGGTCTGTTCATAACTCTGGTGTTCTACTGTACTTCTATCCTCCTCTTCCAGGCTTCAAGTTAACACTGTAAGAAAGGTATCAGAACTGCTAATAATAAGTTCATTGTCCTGGCATCCTTAGGGGACGGGATCAAGGATTATGGATTTATTTGCATAGGGAAATTAACCAGAATAGCTATTCTGCAATAGCTCCCCGTGGAAACTGTTATTCTAGAATAAGAATGTCCAAATGGGAAACTATTCCAGAATAGCTATTGCGCTTTAAATTCACACTCTACCTTAATCTGAAATGACTTTCAAGTGCAGATAATCCCTATATTCCTGTTTGTTCTGTGGTACAACAGAGACAGAGGTTCTGCCCTTTCTGTGATGTGTGTACTTCAAGCTTCCTAGGTTGTGCCTCTGCATGGAGAATCTCCCTCCTCCCAAACCCCTGTTCTACACGGTCAGGTTATACAAAGGAGAGGTTATCTTAGTTGAGCTGCCCATTGTTCTCAGACCTCCAGAGATCTGCTCATAGACTCTGTGAGTCTCCAGAACACCTGTCCTAGTTCCCTTTCCTGTTATAGATTTCAGCCTTCTGACTCTTTGTCCGAGAGTATAAGGGTCAATCTGCTTTATTTCTGAAAGACTTTGAAATGGTTAAAAGCAAGCTGTTTCAGGGTGCAGTCCAGGGTCATTTTTCATCTGTCTGGATTCTTTGCAATCAGTTTCATCTCTCACTCTTTTCTTTGTTGTTTCATCCCCTGGTAGTTCCTTTCACCACCTTTCGTTATATCCATAAACTTTGGTTGTCAAGGGTTGCTATCATTGCCTATGAGGATTTCAAGGAGAGAGTCAGAAGTGTGTCCCTTGTGGTCTGTTTCTCTGATCTTTCCTTATCAAGGGAGGTCACTGAATAAAGGTCATTATCCAGAATCTCTGTACACTTAATAAGAGAGATGTGTCTTACATTTCCTACTCAAACTGTATTTAAATAAAGCCAAAGCAGTTGCTTTCCTTAACGGTTCTAGAATTGCAAAAAGGCTGCCAAGTGTTAACATGTGAGCGTGGGATCAGGTAAAACATTCCTGGACAATGTTTGGGACTCCTCCCTCCAACATGTCTATGTCTTGCACATACAGTTGGAGTCTCAGTTGATTACCTATTCAGAGCCATCACTGATCTTCGCTACTAAGACTATGTCTACACTACAGCTACAGCGGCACAGCTATGGCCCTGCAGGTTTGGTGCTGTAGCATTGCAGTGCAGACACTCACTCCAGCATATAAGGGGTTTTTCCATTGCTGTAGTTAATCCATCCCTCCAAAAAGTCTTCTCTTGACCTAATGGTTCTATGCCAGGAGTTAGGTCAGCTTAACTGTGTTGCTCAGGGGTATGAATTTTTTCCACCCCTGGCTGATGTAGTTAGGTCGACCTAAGTTTTAGGTTAAGCCTAGGCCAAAGAGTTATTAGGAAGAAGTGTGCTTCATGCTTCTGGGCTTCTTATCTGCCTTGCTTGATATGCCAGCATTACTTTTGCAGGACAGGGGAGAGGGAAGATGTACAAGGAAAAATTACTTACCAGTAATTCATTTTGTTCATAGTCTTCTCCTCTTCCTTATCCTACTTTCTCCTTTTGTTGGGGGGTAAATATTTGTGGCTTTTGAAGTACTCAGACTTGAGTACATTTATATGTAGATGATGACTGACCATTTTTCTTTGCCTCCTGGTAGGTGAAGTCATACATCATGATGTAGTGGTGTTTTATTTATAGGATAGGGAAGAGAAGGAGACTAAGACAAATCTAATTACTGGTAAGTAATCATCTCCCCATGACTGTAATCCTGGATGTTGTTCTAGGTTTTTACACTTAATAGGATCAGTCTTTCAGATGTAGCTTGTTTCCAGATTGTTTGAATCTGGGCTTCTGTTTTCTTTTTTTTAATTTGCTCTTTTTTCTGTTTCACAATTTGCTGTTGTCAATTTATAGGTGCATAGATAGATAGGTGGCTATTAGTGTAGACAACAATATTTTATCAGCATAATACTTCATTCTCCAAATGGTGCATAACCTTAACCATTTTAAAATTAGGAACTGAAAGCCAACTTCTGGATTCTGTTCTTTACACCTCTTCATCTACAGACACCAACTAGCTAGTGCTGGCCTCTTTAAACCTTTTATTCCCATCTTTTCAGGCAGGTAACCTACAGACTCATTTACGTCGGCACTCTGGTGAAAAACCATATATTTGTGAAATCTGTGGGAAAAGGTTAGTACAATTGTTAATCTCCTATACAGTTATATGTCAGTGCTTTAAGATTGTATTAATAAAACTTTTTCTTAACCCTAATAACAACCCACAGGCGAAGGTTTAGGAACATGAGTAGACTGTGTTGATTTACACCACCATAGGCTTTTATTGTCTTTTATTGCCCATCACTCTTTGTGCACTTCTGCCTTTATTGGATATTGGTAAATGACAAGATATTAACATTAGGAATTGCTTATTAAAAGCAAGTGCAGAATGATGGGTTAAATTACTTTATGCAAATTTATTTTTAGTGCCATATATATATATATATATATATATTAATTGGCAACTTATATTTATATATAAGTTGCCAATTAATAGAAATCCAAATAAGCCCATAAATTAATAGCATGTCTAGTGAGTCTTTATGGGCTTATTTGGATTTCTGTTCACTGGCAACTTTTTAATTAATTAAAAATATCCAATGTCTAATTAAACTATTTAACTTAACACAACGTTTGGAAACTTTGACCCATAAAGTATGCACAGTTCTGTTCTTTTTCCTTTAAAGCTATACATTGTATGCACAGTTCTGTTCTTTTTCCTTTAAAGCTATACATTGTCATGATTTAGACCCAGAATGATTAGGGTTTTGTTAAATTGTACAAAAACTATGATCAATAGATAGGTCTTTATTATTTTATTTGAGTTTTTAAATATTTCCTTGACGTCTTTACAATACAAATATTGCTGCATTCAGCACATGACAGAAAATACACAAACTTGTAACTGGCTTGTCTATTTTGTTCAAGCTGAGCAAAATACAAAAATTAAA